CCTTCCCGCTTCTCCCGTTTGAGTCTGGGTCCCTAGAGACTCGCCCGGATCTGGAGCTCAGAGTCTGAAACTCCCTCCCGATTGAAAACAACAACCGTGCCCTCCGCCGCCAGCCCGTTCCACATGCACTCCGCACCTTAGTATTTCACTTCAGCACTGCGCCTCCCCTGAGTCTCGGTATGCTATTCTCTTTCCTCCTAGTTGTAGAACTTCCACTCAGCCAGCCTTCCTGTGGTTCTGGATGATGTCCGTTCCGTCTTTTAGTTGTATTTTTGAAGTGGTTGTTCAAGGCAGCGAACTCCGGCGTTAACCTATGCCGCCATCTTGGTTCTCCGATATCCCTCCCAATTAACAAAATGCCACACGTGGGTGTCAGATCAGCCCGTTTTGTGCCTCCACCCCTCCTACCAGTTTCAATGTGCTTTCTTCTTTACTTCTCTAGTTATAGGACTTTCATTCAGTCAGATTTCAGATGGTTCTGAATGATGGTTGTTCTGTATTTTAGTTGTAATTTTGATGTGATTGTGGGAGGCAGCGAGTACCAGTGTTTACCTATGCCACCATCTTGGTTCTTCTCTTATTTTGTTTTTTAAATTCCACGTATGAGTGAAATCATTTGGCATTTATCTTTCTCTAACTTATTTCACTCAGCGCAATACTCCTTAGGTCCACCCATGTTGTTGCAGATGGTAAGACTTCATACTTTTTTATGGCTGAGTCATATTCCATTATATATATGCACCATATCTTTATCCATTCATCTATTGATAGACACTTAGATTGCTTCCATCTCTTAGTTATTATAAATAATGCTACAGTGAACATATGAATGCATATAGTTTTTAGAATTATTGTTCTGGGTTTCTTTGGATAAATGTCCAGAACTGTAATTACTGGGTCCTTCTTTGTCTCTTGTTTTATAGCCTTTGTTTTAAAGTCTTATTTTGTCTGGTATAAGTATTGCTACCCCAGCTTTTGTTTGCTTGTTTTCATTTTCATGAAATATCTTTTTCCATCTCTTTACTTTCAGTCAGTGTGTGTCTCTCAATCTGATATGTAAGGGTCTTGTTTTGTTATTCACTCAGCCTCCATATGTCTTTTGATTGAAGCATTTAATCCATTTGAATTTAAAATAATTGTTGATAGATATGTATTTGTTGCCATTTTATTATTCATACTAGTGTCCTGGTGCATAGATTCATGCACATTGAGAGGAAATTAGAAGAAATATTTTAATATTGCTATTTGCTCTTTCTCTATAATGGAAGTGTCAACCAAATTCACAATCTACAATTCAGATTGAAACACATGCGTGTGATTGGCACCAGCAAGAGCTTTATATGTATTGCACATGTGTGAGTCAACCTAGCCTTTTATAGATATAGAATAAACTTGCTTAATTAGACCTGCTTTCTGATTTAGCTAAACATTTTCCAGCCCAGTGAAGCACCCCAATTTCTCTTTCAGGTAATTGTCAGCAACACAGCAGTAAATATCAACACGAAGCAGATTATTATTGTAGATCTTACAGGGAGAACAAAGGGTAAAATATTTAACTCCAGCAGTGTTTGACTATATTCTGTGCAGTGAGAAAACCTGAAGTCATTTTCAAGTTCCACAATTTCTTCTTTTCAGTCTGGTTAAGTTTCTAAACTTTCTAAATTTCCATTTTCCTGCTAATGAAAAGAAAATATGTTTCTACCGAGTCTCCTATCTACCTACTCCAGGACTTCTGTGAGGATCAAATGAGATAAGGCACATGAAAATGCTTCACATTTGGTTAAAGTGTAAAATGTTTGCACCTGGCTATAAAGCAAGGTGTGTTCCTGGGCTGAAGAAACTCCAAGGAGGCTAGTTGCTAGGGAGAGGAAGCCGGATGTTGCTATGTGACATTACTGGTCTCCCACTGCAACTGTTTCTGGGCTGGGCTGTGGGCCGCATTTTGCGCCATGGGGTCTTGGCAGCGTTGGCTGCCATTTGTCACGGTGGGGTGGTGGCTGGGCTTGTCTCCCTCTTGGGGGAAGCTGAGTGTTGGTTTGTCGGTGCCAGGTCTGTAGTGCCATTTATTTTTAAATGGATAGTGCGTGTCATGGCAGCTCCTGCGTTGAGCGTCTGCCCCCTGGTGGTCAGTGTGTGTCATAGCTACCGGTCGGACCGACACTTAGCCTTTAATATATATATAGTTTTTTTATCTTCTTAAAGAAGATGCTTTATCACTTCTTGTAATACTGGTTTGGTGGTGATGAACTCCTTTAGCTTTTTCTTATCTGGGAAGCTCTTTATCTGACTTTCTATTCTAAATCTTTGCTGGGTAGCATAATCTTGGTTGTAGGTCCTTGCTTTTCATCACTTTGTATTCAATGCCAATTTCATTTGGCCTGCAAAGTTTCTGTTGTGAAATCAGCTGACAGACTTTGGGAGCTTCCTTGTAGATAACTAACTGCTTTTCTCTTGGTGCTTATGATTCTCTTTGTAGCTCTCATGAGAGACTCAGCTTTCTCACTTGGGGCTTCCATCAGGCTCAGTTTCCAAATAGCAGAGTTGCCATGGACATTTACCTTCTGGTAGCCTTGCCCCTCTGTTTCCAGCCCTGACCCCAATTTCTTGTTGCTCTGCTCCCATTTAAGTTTAGTTTCTGGGTGTATTTTTGTTGTTGTTGTTGTTTTGTTTTGTTTTTAGGAGGGGGGAGTCTTGAAGATTTCCCCTACCTCTTGTGAGACCAGCAGTTTCTTAAAGTGTATGACCTTTGCTATGGGAATGTTCTAAGGATCTAGTCATAATGCCAGAATTGGGAAAAATCTGCCAACACCAGGACACTCAATTGTATGTGTATGTATGTGTGTGTTTCTCCAGGAATTCATTGAAGAACTGCTCTCTCCCCCTTTTGGGGGTCTGGTGGCATTTGTGAAGGAGGCTGAGGCTCTGATTGAGCGTGGACAGGCTGAGCGACTTCGAGGGGAAGAAGGTATAAGGATGGTGTGGTAGAAAAGGGGTCAGTGGTAAGGTGACTGGAAGTGAAAAATGAGAGGATGTGGATTATATGGGGAGTGGGTGGATCAGGAAAGAATGGGTTGGGAGAACACCAGAAGAGAGGGGTTGGATGATGAGGATGGCTGTGCCCTGGGGAGGACTTAGTGGGGTCAAAGATCATTTAGCCTAGTCTCTATCTGATACCCTCTTTTTCCTCCTGCCATCAGCCCGTGTTACTCAGCTGATCCGTGGCTTTGGTAGTTCCTGGAAATCATCGGTGGAGTCTCTGAGTCAGGATGTAATGCGGAGTTTCACCAACTTCAGAAATGGAACTAGTATCATCCAGGTGACCTGCAACTCCCAGCCCCCACTCCCACCCTGTCCCATCACTAATTTCGCCCTCTTTTCCTTGGGCTCAGCATCATCCAAGTGACCCTTGATCTTCAACTACCAGCTGTGCCCAAAGTTCTGGATAAGCCCCAACCTGGTTCTTAATCATCATCTCACAGTCTCACCCTCCTTGACTTTCTCTGACCAGGGAGCATTGACCCAGCTAATCCAGCTCTATCATCGCTTCCACCGGGTGTTGTCTCAGCCCCAGCTCCGAGCTCTCCCTGCCCGGGCTGAGCTCATCAACATTCACCACCTTATGGTGGAGCTCAAGAAGCACAAGCCCAACTTCTGATGTGCTGGATCCTGGGATTCACCAGCCCTCTCCACGGACTCTACAGCCCACCCATACCTCTCTTCACCTCGTGCCCCTTCCCGTTCCTCCTTGCCTCCCAGTCTGTGACATGCCTCACCCTGCCTCATCCCCAGAGCCCTGCCTCATCGGGGTGAGCTGCATTCCCTTGGCTTTCTGACTCTCCCAGTGTCTTTAGGTTTCCCAGGACCACCTTTCCCTGGGCTGCCAAAACGGCCGTTATCATTCTCCCAATGTTGTCACCCCCCCCTCCCCCTGAAAAACACACCAAAAACCCAAGGCTCTTTTCTCTTCCTCTAGTAAAACCTTCACTTGCCTCCATTTCTGGTTCATTCAACTCCTGTCACCATGTCCTGAGGTGTGAAGCCTCACCTCTTGGAGTTGATGGCAAGGGGAGACTGCCTCCAAGTCAGTGATTTTTTTTTTCATGCAAAGTGATTTCTGTAGCTTTTTGGCCTAAGATCCTAGCAACTTGAACACTAACCAGTCCCCCTCCTGGCTTGAGGAGTACTTCAAGGTCAGTCTGCAGGGAACAATAAATATTTAATATGACATAACACTCTTCTCCCATTTCCTTTCTCCTTCCTCCTGGGGCCTTCAAGTAGCCCCATCTGTGCTCCAGGGTTCCCTCCATCCCTTTTGGTGGATGTTGAGAAAGTAGGGACACAGTAACCGTTAACCTCTAGGCCAAAGTGGCTGCATTGGTTTTAGTGAGGGGATTATGTCATGAGTACCCTGCCTGGTGGAGGAAGGTGGCCCCTGGTTAAAATGGCGGATGCACGGGCTGGGCACATGGCTGTGCAACCGCAGGCACGGTCCCAAGGGCCACCCGGGGTCCGCCTTGAGCCGGCCATGGGGTTGCCATCCCTGTCAGCTCACTGGCTGCTGGCTGCGGCCTCACGGCCCCTTGCAGAGGCTGCAGCACCCACACGGGACGGGGTAAGCCAGGTTTGCAGGGTGTCCTCCTCCGTTTCTGTGTTTGACTTGGAGTCTCCTGCTGCCTCCGCCTGGACACCTTATTTGAACTTAGACTCTGAACTGGAGAGACAGGAGGCGCCTTTAAGTCCTAGGGGGGAAGGTGCGGGCACCGGGAAAATGGTGATTTGGCCGTGTTTCCTTTGATTCCTCTGCCCCTAAGGCCCAGTCGTTCCCTCCCAGGGCCCGGCAAGTGGCGGCTTC